GCAAAGCCAAAAAAAAAAAAGTATGATTCCCGCCCCCCCCCCCATTAGACCAAAACACCAATGAGCTAGTTTCTCTAAATTAAGGACCTAAATCACAGATGTATCAAAAGTACGGCAGTTGTATCTCAAACATCAACTTTCATGTTATTTAACAGCACAGCTTTGGTAGGCGAAATATGCATGCAACTCTGAAAAGTACAGTAAGAAATTTACGTGGAAATATCTTTAAGTGTAAAGGTGCTCTGTTCGTTAAATACGTAACCAATTGACTATAAAATCTGCAGCATATTTAAGGTGTGATATGTCAAAGGTTATTTTGTTAGAGTGACAGTTTGCACTGTGCAATTATTCATTACTGTTTCATAGAATCATAGAATAGTTAGGGTTGGAAAGGACCTTAAGATCATCTAGTTCCAACCCCCCTGCCATGAGCAGGGACACCACACACTAAACCATGTCGCCCAAGGCTCTGTCCAGCCTGGCCTTGAACACCTCCAGGGTTGGAGGTGTTTCCAGTATTGGAACTATCTCGCTTGTAGGTTTGTGTAAAATTGGAATTTTAACCAAAGACCATATTTGTTTATGGTATTAAAAAAACTTTCGACTAACCACCTCCTCAGAATTGTTAAAAATAACCTAATTACATATATATGAATACAATTTCTATTATAATCCTGTAATAAGTCACAGCTATAGTAATGAGTTGTATTGTAAATATAGAGTTGTATCACTGTAAAATGCATAATAAAATGAAGGGAATGTAAAACAGTTTGTTCCAAAAAAAGATCAGAAATTAAAAGATTATTAATGAGGGTTTATTTATTTTTAAGGCAAGAACCTTTTTTTATGCGAGACTGTGTGGCGTAATGAAACTGAAGTTTCATTCTACCAGTATGCCAGCCATTTCAGTTAGAATCTGTCCCTAACAAATAAGTGCAATAATGATTGGGAACGCCATCTTAATGCAAAAAGATGACATGGAGAGAGTAATAATAAAATAAAAAAAAAAAAAAAAAAAAAAAAAAAAAAAAAAAAAAAAAAAAAAAAAAAAAAGGAAAGAAAAAAAAAAAAGAGAATACTGGCACACTTATTCTTTCTTATACCCAATCATCCAGCACAGTTTATCAACTGCTTTATGACTGGCACTAGTGCACAGATTGAAGAATTTCAAGATTACTATATATAAACCTAGCAACTGCATTAGGCATAAGCTCCCTGGCCTTCTAACACTAAGCAAAGCTGTACTGACAACAAAAGTAAACCATAAAGACCTGACAACAATTATTCTGAACACTTGCTAAATGTCATCATTAAAGCACTCTCGTGATTAAACAAAGCAGAAGTGAGGAAAGAAGACAAGATTGTGTTTGCGCAAAAAACTATAACTACAATTAGTTCCAAAATTTTATACATGTTACATGTTTTGTTATTTATTCTGTTATCAAACAAACTTTAAATTCTGTCTTCCAATTTGTTCCTCTCAACATCAACATTTTTAAAAATTTTCTTTATTTGTGTTTTTTCCCCCATTTTATTTCTTTTTAAGAGGAGTCTCAGCTGTTTGGGACCTGAGGTTGATTTGCTTTGAGGCTTCGTAGTGCTCTTCTCGCAGCTGCAGATTTGGCAATCCTGTAGCTTCTGCCAACACCTTTAAACTTTCCCTTTCCTACAACTTCCACTGTTACTCTGACCTTTCCATCGTAAGTTCTTTCTGCAGGACTGCAAAAATATACACAAGAATTACTTACTCCCTAGGCAAGTTAATGTGAAATAAGAGACCTACATTCTCTTTTCTACAGAAGTTAAAGCAGTACAGTTAAACAGAAATCATTACTTTTCTCAAAAAGTTATGCAAGGAAAAGCAGTAAAATCAGCAAACATGGTGATCATGCTCGCTGCTTAGTGCAAAAGAAATGAATTTCTGACATTCAAAAATTCTCAGCAGTTTACGAAGCACAGCTTAAAAACATTCTATGGCAGTGTGTACCAAAGGAAGCGTATTCTTACCTAAACTTGGCTGTCTCTGGCTCCATCTCCAGCAGCTCTCGCACTGGAGAACGGGGCACATTAGCAGAAAATTTCTCTATTTGGAGGAGGAAAAGAAAAAATTAGCTTTCTTCTCTTCATAGCAGATGGCACTTAACTAATATTTTCTTTTCTGAAAGCAGACAATACCTATTAATGGCCTCATCATTGGATAGTACACTTGCCACACCATTTCCAAAGACATTCCACTATCCATATAAATGGCACCAGCAAGGGACTCAAATATATCCCCCATGGCCTTTGGTACTTCAATGTCTTCCTCTTTTTCTTCATCTTCTTCAGATCTTCTGAGCTGTTAGCAATTAAAAAAAGCAGGGGGAAGGGGGAAGAAAGAAGGAAGAGAAACAATTGCATCTTATAAAATAAAAAGGTCTTCAGAAATGTAAGCTCTCTTTCAATCTATGCTGTGCTGCTTCCTTTAAGTTTTTCATTGACAATTTCCCACAACGAAATTGTTCTTTTATTCCCCAATGAAACCAAGTTGCTGGATATATCATCTTTCAAATATGAAAAAAAAAATAAAAATAAAAATGCCCAAACACCACTGCGTACAGAGACCTTATATGCTTTGTGAATTCCTCATGTATTTCTGTAGGATTTTACCATAGGTCTGGTTTTTCCAATAAAAAACAGACTTGGCTCTATCAGTTAATTCTAGAAAGCTACGCAAAATAAAGGAAGAGTTCATACATTAGGCATCTCCTAGAAGTAGCTTCAAAAATCTGTATGAAAGCTCCAGAATCTCTGGATGAAAGTTAGACGTACTTTTCCTTACCTTATCTACCCTGGAAGACAAGCATGAAAAAAGCACTAGTAAACTGAGCCATTAATAAGTGATAACCAGCAACATCAGACTGAGCTAGCAGGCACACTTAGCTATCTTTTAAAGGTAGCAGGCAGTGTTTTCTTCTATGATACTAACTTAAGACAATAGCCTATTCTCTTTATTAAAGCTAAATTTTCAGTCTATGTTTTAAAGATCTTGAGTTAATCTCAAGGAATTGCCGAGGCATCTCCAGAGAGGATGCCTCAACCCCGGAGCGGGGGGAGCTCAGCG